TGGAGGAACCGAGAGATTTAGTGGGTATACCCGATTATGGGGAGATTCCCACATAACAACCGCGTTCCCCAAGCCGAGAAAGTATGCATAAAGCATTCTCCTCGGGAAAAAAAGGATGATCCATACAAACATATTCTTGAGACATCAATTTTCTTTGTTATTCTTAAAACATTTTAAATTACACAGTTACTGAAGTTTTCAACAACAAATTCTATTAGATTTTCCTTTTATGGCTTCCAACGAATTCTTTGATAGTGACAAATATTGGAACACGCTGTAGGTATTGACGTGGCTTCGGAACAAGTTTTACAAATGCAGAAACCTTATTCGTAGTTCGGAGCTGCGAAATGTAATCAATTTCTTCCACCTGTGTTATTTTTCCAAAAAAAAAATGCATTCCAAAACGTGCTGAGTTTGATTTATTACAATTTATTATATACAGTTAGTGTTTGTAATAATCAGAGTTAACTATACCAGTCTACGTGAAACATAGAATTCTAAAGTAAATTGGGATTAAAATATCATAGTATGTTTTTTTGATATTCTTTTTAGATGAATTAAATAATTTGTGGCTTTTTTTTTTTATTAATTATACAATTCCTCTAGCATGGAAGCCAGAGCCTTTGTTATGCTTCATATAATTCATCTACATCATTACATTTTTATCTCATACATTTTACATTTTATTTTTACAGATTTTTTAAAATACACAAGCTAAGATACATTAAGATTAAAATAAATATTACTAAGACTACAGGTACAATGTTAAAATTATTGACATTATTAAAATTATATCTGGCAAATGAAATGTAAAATAAAATATAGGATAAGTATAAAATGAGTATAAAATAATAAAATTACAGTTAGAATGACTAGATTGGCTATACATTAAAATGACTAGATTAATATGCTACGTTACAATTCACTAAAGTTTTAATATGACTAGGTTTAAGGCACTTTATTTTTACTAATTAATTTTGTTGCTACATATTTGCTAAATTCTAAAAACGTTTCCCTTGCACTTGAATTTCTAATTATATTTCTAATATTGGCCAATTCTATCTTTTCTCCTATTTTCACTTCAATTGCTGCCCTGCGTGCCTCAAAGACAGGGCAGTCAATTATTGCGTGCAGCACGGACTCACCCCGTGCCGGGTCACACATACATGAGGGGCTCGTCTTACACTTGAATCTGTGTAAGTATTCGGAGA